TGTGGAGTTAAGGGAAATAAAACATATGCAGTAAGCAAAAATGCCAAACAATTTCTAGTTAGAGCTTCTTATTTAATTTCTTTATACCAGTGAATTAATATATTGAAGCAGCCCTACAGTTGGTGAGGGAAATTCCCCACTGAAATCCATCCATTTAGTCTTATGGGAAACTGTTATGAGCCTTTCCACTGTTCACTGAGTCGGTCGGCCTGAGTCACTGGCAGATGAATTGCTAATGAAAAGAAAATGTTTTCAATAATAATTAGTTGCATTCTTGCTTAACTAACAGGCATGTGCAATTTTAGAAAGTAATTCGAGCCTTCCAATTATTGAGTTTTTTGACATTCTTTTTTTCTGCTGAGATAAGACAGACACTCATATAATTTTCTTCTCCTCGCAGCTCAGCCTGCAAGTGCTGACCTTTATCAGTGCTTATAGGCTGGAAGCTGCATTTATTTATTACTTTTCAATCACAAAAATAGCATAATGACAATTTAATCAGAAGCATATCGCAATATATATTGAATGAAAAAGTTGCTGTTGAGATCTGTGTCTGTCATTATCAACTGGAATTCACAGGCTTCAATTATTTTTCCACCCTGAGTTTGTTTATTTTTCTTTATTTACTCTTCCATTACAGATCAGCTGTCTTTTCTTTCCACATGAGGCTTCACTGAGACTGTGTAAGCACAATAAAGACCTTTCAAAATACGGTGACGTGTACTGACAAAAAAAAATATGAAGGAAGAAGCAGAAAGAAAGTAAATGAGCAAGCGAAGAGATAAAGAAGCGATGGGCTGATCTGAAAGGTAGTCTAAATATTCAGCTCGTCCCATCAAAAGAGTCATTGTACATTGTTCCAAAATCTCATCTGTCCCCTCGTTCTGCAGATAACATTTAGGCAAAATATGAAAACATACATGTTTTTCTTTTTTTCTCCACACGTAATCCAGCTCAGCCCTCAGAATCTTTCACGGCTATCTTAAATATTAAAGTGTGCTTTGCTGAATGATGGGATGCTCTGTATGATTCATACCCAGTATTTGAGAAAAAAAATAAAAATAAAAAGCTGACCGATAATTCTCAAAACACAAATCATCTCTGCCACCTTCACGGCTTTAATAGAGAATTGTGCATTTGAATTATTCATCGCTGCTTTGCTCTGGTGAGTACGCAAGCCTGGCCCTTTGGCACAACTCTTTGCCCAAGCTTTTAAGTCAAAGTCACCTCATGAAATATATTTAGATGTTACAATGATAGCTTTTTAATCACAGTCAGCCTTCAGTGGAGAGTGATTATTCAAAGACTTAACAGATAAACCGAACAGACAGTGTGCGGCTTTAAGATATCACTTGGCAACCATATTAGTCCTCAGATGCTTGACCACAGTGACTTTAGACAGGTAGCAGCATTTATTTACGCACAGGTCAGAAGTCCCAGCAGAATTCTCATTTGGCTTCGAACAAGAGTGATTGATTTTGTGTTTTCTTGGCTTGTTAGCCAGTAAATCACACTCTCTGGGCGGCTAATTGTCGCAGTCTTGATGGAAACCAGTGATGGTTCAGTCTGTCCATTTAACTGTTGTTGGGCAAAAGTATTACAAAGAGTGCTGAAGTTTTTAAGCTCAGACTGTTTGTTTTACTTTAGCTGTGCAATTATGTTTCCACGCAGCTAAAATATCACTTGAAGTAAACATTTATAAGCATACAGCTGAATACTAATGGATCAGTAGTGTGCTGATGACATGGCGTGCTTCCACCGATATAACTACTGATAACTTTATGGATTGGTCATCAGGGTGCTTGGTTAAGGTCAGGGAAAGACCAGAGGAGAAACAAACAAAGCTCACGTTACTTGAGAAACAAAGCGTTATTTTCTTTTGTTTAAAACCACAGTCCGTTCGTAACCTTAGCCAAAGTTGATTCTGTCCATCTAGACCATAGGTGTCAAACTCTGGCCAAATTTGGCCCGCAGCCTAATTACATTTGGCCCGTGTAGCCATGCCAAATTACTATTAGAGCTGGCCTACTGGTATTATACAGCTAATATATATATTGTTTAGTATTAAGCTTTGCTTGTTCCATATTCAGTTTTTCAGCAAAACGTGTTATAGTCCATAAGAAAAGATTCATTCTTATATCTGGAGGAATAAATATATTTCAATAAATATTAATGTTAGCCAGCAACTTTGTTCCAGTTTTGAATTTTGGCCCACAGTGTATTTGAGTTTGACACCCCTGATCTAGACGTAGCGTGGGAAAAACGTTTCTCGTCCAAGAGACTTCTTCAGTCTCCAAAGTGTTTTCGTTGCCTAACCTGAACCATAGATTGGTATTGTGAGCTGAGTGACCACCATCCACTCAGACCACCTTGATGCAGTTCATCATTGCAACTTCATTATTAAAACAAACAAACATGTCTCTGCATACATGGATAAAATCTTGCCTGGTTATCTACTAGACTCACAGGAAGCAGGCAGGCTGATGGTTCCCAGATTGCACCAAACGTACTGGAAAAACAGTTTGATGTAAATTCTTAGAGATTGGATCGACTTGTTTTTGTAATTGAGGTTTACTAACTGAAATGAAAGTGCCACGATCAAATTTGTTTACAATCTTTTGCTGAAACATGTCATTTTTTTGTCCATTCTTTAGACAGTGCAGTTACATTTCAGCTTTTGGATAAGCTTTGCACAGGGTTCTTTTAAGTTAATAACAATATAATATAGTTTGCTTTTCACATATTCTAACCTATTAAAATCCTTCTCCAGGTTGTTGTGTTGCTATTCAAGTAACACGAACACAAAATCTGATCTGAACATCCTAGTGTGTGACTAAAGTACCATTCAAACAGTGTCTTCACCGGTCCATGTAATGAACACATTCGACTGTTTTGTGCATAATTTACTCAGAAAATTAGTCTGGCATATTAAGTATGTTTTTGGAGACTGTGAGATCTCCACTAGAATGTAAAACAATAATTTGTGGGTTTGATGACAGCAGATGTTTGCACTTATCAATCCACTGATGTGAGGCTTAAGATGTTTACTTAATTTCTTTCACTGCCTTAACAATCTTTGGAATAAATATTCATTGAATAAAATGCACCACAAGTGTCATTTTAGATGTGAGGATAAAGATAATGATTACACTTTGATGATTATGCTTTTGCACCACGACAGGCATTTAGAGGATCCCATTACAATTTGATGTAATTGCAGAAGTATTTTAATAAGTGAATCACACACACACACACACACACACACACACACACACACACACACACACACACACACACACACACACACTGTGTGTCATGGACTGAATGACTGAGGGGGCTTAGAGGCACATGTTCTACTCTGTGAAGAGCCACGCTGATCAGTATATTGACAGCTTGTCGAGTTGCACCTGTATTAGTTGACAATGCCTGTCTAATGCAAGCAGTGCATTTCATAGTATAGCCATGATTGGATTTCAGACTGAAATCAAGCTTTAGTCTGTTGCTTGTAATGATTTGAAGTTTTGTGACGGCTCATTCAGTTAATCAGCAGGGTTCCCACATCCTCCCATCTCTGCAGTGGTCCATACTGCAGATGTTGGGAATTTCAGATTAAAGACATGGTGACTGCTGAGTGCATGCATAAGCATCCTTAGCTGGATTACCGAGTAATAAGCTTTCAGTTAAAGGCATAAAGCATAAAACAAATCTGAGATACTGTGAGTAAAAAAAGACACAGACGCAGATTCAGAATTTAGATGAGCATCTAACTGTAGCTCAGAGGTGTAAGACCCTGGGCTCAGTACTCCGACACTCGAGGGTGATATTATACGCAACAAAAAGTGGAGAAGGGTAGAGCTGAAGTAAGAAGTAGAAAAGATATGATAGAAAAAGCAGAGCCTTGGCAGGAGGAGGGAATGTGGGTCACCAGGGACAAGGGAACATAAGGAAGTTCTTGCTGGAAATGTTGACTCTTTGCCTTCTGTTGGATTGTATCTGAAACTTGACTGGAGAAGAAATGTCACTGTACCACTGGGGAGGCAAAAAGTGGGACAGACTGCCCGGTGATTGCAAAGTGCTTCATGGCATGCAGTCAATTTACTGCACCTTGTACCGCGTACTGTTTTGAATAGGTTTATCTTCCCTCCCTGTGTCTTTGGTGTTGTGCCTGCTCCTTTTTTCTGTTTGGCAATTCTCATAAAGACATGTTTAATTGGATAGCACTGAACTTTTCTGCTCAAGGCCTTGCTTCGTACGCATATAAGGAAAAAGCCATCACTGGCTTTATCGGATGGTATTGCATACTTTTGAAAATAATTTGCCACTCAATTAAACTACATTCATAGCAAATGAAAACCCAACTGAAGCAGCAAAGTTAATTGTGTTTCTTTTTAGTTTCAGTTGGCTTTTTTTTTTTTTTTTTTTTTTAAGGAAATCAATTTCAGAGTCATTGAAGCTTTATGTTCTGAATAAAAATGAAAGAAACTGAAGTACCATTGATCCTACCAAACAAAGTGATGGTGGCTCTATATGTTATGGAATACTGAACACAGTTTGGCTCTTCTGTGGGACTTTCTTTAATGAAGAATGAACGAATGAAGTTTCATTGTCATGCATTTTATATTTCAGATAGGAGTCAAATATGGAACAAAACTATGGACTTTCATGACTCAGAAAATGAACTGAAATGTCCAAAACCATTTTTAAGAGCTTGAAAAAAAAAAAAAGGTGTCTCACGTATTTAAACCCTAGTGGGGTTTGTCCGTCGAGAGGCGGTTGCTGACCTACTATTAATCATGTGTGCTGTCACATGATCCAAGGTGTGAAAAAAGGTGTATGTCGTTACACCAGAGGGTTTGGGTGAAACCTCTGTGACACCTTGCCTCACCCTATCATACGACATATTAAAGTCATATGCTATTATTATTACTATTTAGCAGCAAATTAATAATTACACGTTTCAAGAGAATTTATTGTAACTCTTCCCTCTTTTACTTTCTTAGATAAGAAGAACCCATGTCATTTACCCCAGGCTCCCGGTCCCTGTCGAGGGCTCGTGTCACGCTTCTTCTTTGACAGCTCGAGTCAGGAGTGCAAGCAGTTCTATTATGGAGGATGTTTTGGCAATGCCAACAATTTCAGGACCATGGCTGAGTGTCAGGCAAAGTGTCTAAATCCAGGTAGGGATGCACTTGCATTCACTAATGCAGTTCACTGACTGTTGTTTTGAAGCGTTCTCTGATTTCTTCCATAGTCATATCTGCTTTTGATGAAGTCCTACATGAGGACCCAAAGATCACAGCCTTTCATTACAGCTTAATGGTCTTTATCCTTTGTATACAGAGAGTTCTCTAATCTTTTCATAATGTTAGAATCTGTAAAAAATTGTATATCAGCACATTATTTTAAGCATGTTATATGTTGTCTTTGTACCGATTTTGATTAAACACATGGTTTGAATAACTTGTAAATCATTTGGATTTTGTGTATATTTTACACACAATAGCTTTCTTTTATTGGAAACATGGCCAGTTGCTGTGCATCAACAGAAAACCCATTTCAGTGAGGTGACATAATCAGAATAATTCTACCTCTGAAAATTAATTTTGTGATGACTTTTAGCTGACCGTGAAATCACATTCCACCTTGATTTAGCATTTAAATGGTTTTAAAGTGACCAAAGCATACTCAATTATACCAGACTTTAGGCACAAGTCGTTTAAATATTGAAATTTTGAGGAAAATAACGAGCAAGTCGCTCGGCTGTGACCAGTTCTGCCAAAAGACCACGTTGTAGAGAGAATCGATTTTAATTCCACACAGACGAATGTTTAGTTTCATTTATAGACAAAATGTTTGCAAAACAACACCTTTTCCCAGCTGATGCTAATGTAATTAAACGTGCTTTAATTATGATTGATCAGGGGGATATAATTAAATTTGTTCCAACTATAGTAGGTCTTGATGCTCAATCATCCAGGTAAAAAAAATCCCCAAAGGTTGATTCTGTTCATCTGGATGTAGCGTTTTCAGGAGGAGAAACATCATGTCCAGATGAACAGAATCAACTTTTTGAGATAAATACAGCAGGACTGATGTTCTGTGGATGGCAGTCGAGACACATGTTCTCAGATGTTGCTTTTCTCTTTTGTCCGTGTCAATATGGTGAACCCTACCACAGCACCAGAATCTCCTTCTCCAAGAAAAGACGATGTTCAGCCAATCATCGAGACTGGTAAAGATGACTGTACACTGCACTCTGCCTATCTTCTTCTTCTTTCACCTGTTCCCTTTTAGTGTCATCACATCAGGTCATCTTCCTCCATCTCACCCTATCCCTAGCATCCTCCTCTGCCACACCAGCCTTCTGCATGTCCTCCTTTACCACATATCCACTATCTCCCACCTGCGCATATATTCAAACCATCTCAACATTGCCTTTCTCTGTAATATTCTGTGTCTTAAGTAACTGATAAATATAATTATTACTGATGGCATCATTCCCCTTGCAACTGGGATTTAAAAAAAAAGAAAAGAAAACGGTAAAAACCAGAATGAGATGGGCGATTGATGGAGGCATTCAGCCTATGTTGGCATGACTGGAAGCAGAAGGAAACAACATGTCCAAAAATCAGTAAATACTGCACAGATGGACAAATTGCTATTTAGTAATAAGTAGTTACATATGCATGTCATTAGTTAATTAAAGCTTTAGAGTACCAATTTTTAAATTTCATAAAGACGCAAGTAACCTAATTTCCTGTCGCAATTCTCTGTTTTATGCACAGGTGCAAAATTTGCATTAATGATCACAACTGAGTCTAGCAAAGGAAGCAAATTTATTCACTGACTGATTGATGGCTTCCCATATTGTTGTATTTCAGGAGAACAAAATGCAGGGGAACAAATTGCAAATGCACCGTTGGTGCAAGGGAATGACACAAATCCAGAGACAAACGGTAAGAAAATTCCACATTTTCAAGGAGAACTCAATGAGAAATCTTGGATGTAGCATTTAGAATTAAGGCTAATTTGATTTTATTCATGCAAATTGGTTGTTAGGTTACTATTCTTCATAACTCCATAAACACAGAGGCTACATTTCTGAGAACAGCCAGGATTTCACTCAATGTTAGTCTCATAAAGCCAAGTAACACGAGTCAAGAATGTGATATCAATAAAATCAGCCGGCTGTGTAGCTGATTGATGAAGTAAACTTGATCAGTGAGAAAACTGTGAAAAGCTCTGCGACTAAGATACAGTCAGACAATGAAGCACAAAGCTAGAAGCAGTACACGTAATTTTCATTTATTACACAGAGTATTAGACATGTGGGATAGATTAATGGTCACAAGGCATGATTAAATCACTCATCTTGTCCTCAGTCATTGTTGAATTCTGAAATATGCTCAGACCTGAAAGTAAGCAATTCCAAGCCATTTATTAACTAGAGCAGTTTGTGCTGCCAAAAACTTTTTTGTTATAAAAAGAAGAAAAGAAATTGTCAAGGTGCAGTGATGCATAGATGGTAGACAGCTTGCAGAATTGCTTTTGTTGTGAAAAGCAAAGGGCAGAAACAGAGTGCATCAGTGTCCTCTTCCCACAACTCGTTTGTTACTTTCCCACTCACTAATTTTCGGTGTATTCGCAGTGTGGGAGCATAAATCACAGCTGTCCTGTTGCAAGGCTGTTTTGTACAGCTTGCAGGAAAGAACTGGGAGACCCTGGCTCGTCTCCCATCGCCCTCAACTCATTCAAAGAGTTATAATTCTAAGAATTCAATTTCACTGTTGTCAAAAATATTGAGTAGAAGAGATTCAGGATAAGTTAGCCTCTGTAGTTCCACCATGGAATCAATCTTTTTCTTTTTGAGGGTAATTCTTTGATAAAAAAAACAAAACAAAACAAAAAACCCAAAGAACTCGTTGAGGTAATAAAGTGTCTCTGAGAAGTAAAGTTGGTATGAATGTTGATTTCAATTCATTAATCAGGTCTTTAAAAGACAGATTTAGAAAGTAGGTTTTGGTGATATTTGATGTCACAGTTCACTACTACGATGAACCGAGTTTGACTCTCAAAGTTACAAAAGCCAGAAATGAGCATGAGAGAATGTGGTGTGCATGCTGACGTCTGTCTGCCAAGCAGATGTTGCCATGTTGAAATCAAAGAAATCAAATCAAAGACTGACATCTTGTGGCTGCTCAGTGAAGCACACACTTTGTCTCTGTGGATCTCAGACTTTTTCAGGCATGAAACAGTTCTGGGCAGCTCCTCTGCCCAGAAAGTCATTAAAATCATCTCATCAATAACAATAATAAAAAAGGGAATATAAACTTGAAATTTAGCTAAATAAAATAAAACACAATAGCATCATGAAAACCCTTTATATATTTGCCAGGTTGCCTGCACCCAGTTATGTGCTGTGACTAGTTATAGTTTCTCTGTTACTGTAACATGACAAGTAACAGAAGACCACAGTTTTTCCAGCAAAGCATGTTTATAAAAAGCAGCTGTAGAACTCACTGAATTATCTAATTAATTATTTTTATCAAAGAGAATTTGCAATGCAAACAGTGGCATGACTGGCATGAAACAACACTTTGGGCACCTCACAGCTGTGTATGAGAACTCAAAAGTCAGTTTGATGGGAGCTTAAATGAGCTTTAATCTGCCAGCTCCAGAATACAAAGTCTGCGTGATGTGTGTTTGTGCCCATGTGGAAATATTGTTGCAGATAACTGATTCATAGGCAGTGCGTGGGTGTCATTTGTGCTGTGTTTTGCACACTCCCAGGAGCATCTTTTGTGTCCTACATGTGAGAAAGGACAATATGAACAATGCCCTGACCCGGTTCTACCAACATGATCTATTTATGTGTGAGAACTTGTCATACTATATTATGTTTGGAAGTTTAACACAGTGGTGGAATAATTCTTATATATTAACTGTTTGCCTAAAAGACTGAGGCTTTGTGGTGATTTAGGGGTTTGAATTCCTAGCCAGTATATCTGAGTTTGGGTTTCAGACCCAGTGTCAGAAGTTCTTGTTGTTAGGCTGATTTCATTACCAAATGAGTCATTTTTGAGTATTAGCTCTGATTATTATTATTTATTGTATAGAATTATTGCTTTTTCGTGTGTTTAATTCTCTCGGTGTAAGCAATTCCAGGCCATTCTTATCCTCTATCTTGTCTTTCTGTTTATTTATTTGTCCTGTAGTGTTCTCCTATATCCATCTTCATGCATAATGTGAGTCTCATCTCTGTGTTTAGGATAGGTCTTTGAGGTTTAAAGGTTATTGTTATTATTATTATTATTATTATTAATAATAATAATAATAATAATAATAATAATAATAATAATATTGTACGCTGAGATCATTTTAATTTTTGTCTTACCTGACCCTGGATTCTTAGCTGAGCCTAGCAAGCTAAATACTGAGATAAATGCTGAACTGTTAAGGTCACTGTTTGTCAGTGAAAATAAGTGTGCATCAGTAGTGAAAAAGAGTCATTGCTCATGGGTCTCCAGTCAGAATATGGAATATGGCCCTACTCTCACCCAGCAGAAAACTACAGAAAAAAACAAAGAGGATGGCTTACACAGCAACTTCCACTCTCAGAATCTGTTACTCCAAGACTCAGCCTGAATATGCCGGTCAAAATCAGTTTCAGGTGGATGAAGCCTAATGCAACAGTACACAAACAGGAATCATTCATCTTCCTCACCTTCAGGCTTGTGGTATCTTCAGCTTATGTCTTAGCTCTCTAATAAAACTAACATAGATCTAATTTAATCAAAGAATTATGTAACATTTTAAGGATGAAATGAAATAAAGTTGGCTGTTTGCCGTTTCTTGTGATTAACAGACTTCACTCTTTCAGAGCTGTGCTTCAGACCTGTGGACAAGGGGACATGTAGTGGTTCAGAGAGCAGATATGCATACATTCCAGAAAAAAAGCGATGCCAGTCATTTTCCTACAGCGGCTGTGGAGGGAATGAAAACAACTTCATAACCCGGAGACACTGCTTCCACAAATGCATCAGAAAGGGTAGGATTATTTTAAGAGATTCACTTTAATCCAATTCAGTTCAGTTTAGTTGATTTATATACTGCCAAATCACAACAGCAGTCACCTGAAGGCACTTATGTTGGTAATAAACCTACAATAATACAAAGAAAACCCCCAACAATCAAACATCCTCCTATGAGCAAGTACTTGGTGACAGTGGGAAGGAAAACCTCCCCTTTAACAGGAAGAAACCTCAAGCAGAACCAGGTTAAGACCCAGGATGACCCAAGGAAGACAGGACAATCTGGAACTGATCAGTTCCAAAGTTTGGCGTACCATGGCATGCTCATTCAGTTCATTTCTTTTTCATTTGTTGTCTTTAATTATTCCATTTTAAAAATCTAATATGAAGACATTTTGTGGTTTATGTTGCAGGTCATGGGAAGAGGATGATGATCCGAGTAAGGAGGAAAAACTTACACAACATTCTTAATTACTCAAGAAGAACACTCGACTCTGCGTGAGATTCTACTCTGCTGTCAGCTGTATTTATGCCAATATATGTTTTGTTTGGGCTTTTTTTTTTATTTTTGCATGTTTTTTTTTCTGCTCTGCAGCCAAGTCTGCCACAACCCCTTGACATCATTGGTCTGCCTCTGTGTTTATAGCAATATGATTTTCTTGACTTGTTGAAACATGTTTATTCATCTCAGGAATAATTTGAGCTTTATGTCATTTAAAAACTCTGTTAATTTTATTTTTGGTCAGACACATGAAAGTAATGCTGTGCTGCACTGTGCAGTTTGGAGTCATTGTTTAGAATCTGCATCTAAATGATGTTCATTAAATGAGATCATTAGAAGAAAAGACTGCGGGATCCCCCTGTGATCTAGATACTGGTGGCGGTAGAGGAGAATAAGCAGATGATGATGACGCTGATAGAGAATTTGGATCAAGCTCAAGGACAACCCACACTGGTGGACATGGGGAGGAGCAGGAGTAGATTACAATATGTTGTAATGGAACTATAGGAGAAGCTGGAGATGGAGAAGCAAGGATATCAACAAGAGGAATGTCACAGATTGGCTCTTTCTTACTGAAATCAAACACATTTTGAAATAAGGGGGGGGGGGGTCACTTTTTGAAGGAAAAAGTGTGACAAATGAAGCTAAAAGTGACACCAAAGAGGGATGACGTCCTTTCGTCCTAGATGAAGGTGAAGAATAATGATTGGACCCTGAAAAGAAACAAATGAGGGCAGACATTTCAGAGGATTTATTTTTTGAAAAGAAAAAAGCTTCATAAAAACAAACAGAGTTAGCCACTGAGAAATATCATAAAGAGCCTTGTCCTGTTTGCTTGTCTGTGTGCGTCCCTTTGCCGCTCACTGCTGCTGCCATGACCTTTAATAAAGAGCTGCCATACATGAATGAAACATATACTGAACAGCTATAGCGTATACATGATGATCATGTCTTTATGATGTCTTTTCAATAATAACTTGCTCAGAAAAGGGCAAGCATAGTATCAAAGAATAATATTTCTGCCTTTCATTATAAAACATTAAAATTTATGACCTTAGCAGCAGCCTGAGTGACATACAGAGACAGATGAGCTTTGATATCGCAGCAGGATAGTCGTGTTTTCGATTTACATCAGAATTTATGGAAAAAAATATAACATCTTACAAGCAGACTTTGAAATAATTGCTACACTGTGCTGCTGAGGACGGTGCTATCTGTTGGTGTCGTTGTACGTCAGGCAGCATCTCATATTCGTCTGTAGCACACTTGGCTTGGGATAACAGATCTTGTGTGAAAATGATTTTTTAATTACCTAAATTTGATTTTTAATGAATTAAACTTGTTATTCGCATTGTTTCTATGGCTTATTGACAAAAAACATTTGTTTGGCTGATGTTTATGCTCTGGGCACTAATGCTTTGCACTGCAGTTATTATATGTATACATATTTTATGTCTTTTTATTTTTACGATCAGATATTATCGTTTCGATATAAACTTCTCACTATAGCCTTAATACATCTAATGCATATTTACTGTGTATGTACAGCAGCTGATGCTATTCTACTGTGGTATTGGCATAGTTTCTCTTCAGTGTGAACGGCAGCATTAAAGTTGTGCACAATTCTTCGTCCAGAATTGAATTTTTTTTAAGCAACTCCACAATCAAGAAACCATCACAGCTGTAAATCATTGTGAACAGGATAATGACTGTATTGTTGTTTGTTGTTGATTTTTTTATGACTTTAAATCAATGTTTTCAAGCTTTGGAATGTTGTTGGTAAGAAAAGCCAGAAGGGGGCAGTGTTGTGTAAAGAAAGAAGTTTGTGAGCAGCAGACGAACAGTGCTGTTTACTGTACATGGCTGTAATGGATGGGACTGAAAGTTTATATAATACATTTCAACAATCCTATTGTGTTTCGTGTTTATTTACTCTCTTTCCATCTCTTTTAGTTTGAGTGACAAGTCCAGAGTTTTACACTGGAAAACACAGAATAGCAAAATGGCCTTCAGAACTCTAAATACGACAACAGAAATCGTTTAGAGTTGCAAGAATTGTCAACTGAACTATCAGCTTTATAACAACATAAAGCTGACAATTTACACCCTGCACAACAGTCCGTTATTGTTGTGCAGGGTGGGGGTGAATTTTTTTAAGCATCCTTCTAGGTTACTACCTCTGTTGTAGTGCAGAATCCACGGCCTGCATGTTTTCAGTGGAATCTGGGTAATTTTCAAGACTTGATCTCTGTTTTGTTATTGATTACTTTATTACGCTATTTTTATTCAAGTCTGTAGAAAATGCTTTCATAAAGCTGCACAAGACAATAATTTCAGAATGTCAAATCAATGCATCTCATGTGAAAGACATTCTCTATACTGACAAACCCACTGAGACGTATCACCTGATATAGTTCTAGTTTTATAGGATGGAACTTTCTCCTGTTTTAAGTGAAGAAACACTCTTGAACCCATACACAATCATCGTTTAATAGTTAGCTGGTAAGCTGCTGGAATATATCGCTCTCATCGACAATAGAAATATCAAATCAAATCAAATCACTTTTATTGTCACATCACATGTGCAGGTACATTGGTACAGCACATGTGAGTGAAATTCTTGTGTGCGAGCTTCACAAGCAACAGAGTTGTGCAAAACACAATAATGTAAACAAGAAAAATACAAGAATGGCTACATCTGAAACTAATAAATATATGTAAAATATATAATAGTATATGCATTTCTGGATGTGTATACCAAATATTTTTCTACGTGTGTGTGTGTGTGTGTACGCATATTTTACAAGTTAAATAGAGTAAACAATAAATAAAATATATAAAAAATATACAAATATAAGAGTGGTGCAAGAACTTTGTAAGTCTTTTTCCTCTAAAATGAAAAGTGGATCCAAATCATGCTAGCTAAGTGAGTCCAACAGCATAACAGAGACACAACATCCCATCAGTGCAGGATCAAGGGTTCAGATATTTCCTTCAGTCTGTTACGCCTCTGTTTGTGTGCTTTACCAGCTGGCGGTAACCCTCGTTGTGGCTGAAATCACTCAATATCAACTGAATTCTGAGTGTGTAAATCCACTTTGACACCGTGTTCAAATCATAATCTCACAGAGCAATTCCTTATAGTTTACAGAAAATGCAGCCTCCTACAGAAACACATCTATAAGTAAATGCTAATGAGATTATGTTTTTACCTGTATTTCTAGCTTATAATACAATAAATCCTCATCATATGTCAGATCCCACAGTGGAATAATGTTTGTCTGTATCTTACTTTACTAGAAAGTGTCGATGTATATATGTGGCCTGTCAAGAAAACACATTCCCCTGGCAGTAGACTCATTTTATCGGTGCATATATGTTTATGGCTTTAGAAAACATCTCCAGTACTTTCATAGCAGCAGTTTGGTTTGAAACTGCAGCTGGTTTGAAACAGAGAAGGTCAGAGAAGCAAAAGGGATTCAAAAGCTACAAAAAGTGCTTTTACCTGTGTGTGATCAGTAATGACCCATCCACCAAATAACGAAGAATCCATTTATAAGAAATGTATGAATGCGTGGTAGGCTAGATGCACAATTATAGATCACGGGTAGAAGTAAAATAAAATATAAGCCGATGTCTTAACCCAGCCATAAAGGAAGAAAATTAACAAAAATGGAGGCTTAGACGTATGCTTTAAATGTCCCCGTGTTTAAAATGATCCATTTCATTGTTTCTGCAGGCTTGGAACGAAAAGATCACTCAAAATGCACAAAACAGTTTCCCCGGTGAAGTGCCCGTGAGCAAAAACACTCTTTGATAACACAAACTGTGGATACACGCCTGCATTAGCGTGTAGGAGTGAAAGGGGCACATCATCCTGCACTGTGCCGAGCTCGCCACAGATCGCAGGTCCTCAGCTGTAGCCTACAGTGTGATGTAACAGGAAGTAGTGGGTTGCCTTCCAACGTCAACCTGACAGCCGTCTGAGCTGCGCTCATTGAGCGCCGGAGGTCCACCGTGTCCAGTTCTCTGCGCTGAAGCCGAGGAGGAAAAGACGCTTTGGGGGACTGCTCTGAGAGTTTATTGCGGTTCCTGCCTCTGCGCTCCGGGTGGATTTTACTCTGTGGTAGGACGTGCTACAGTGAAGTGTGAATTGCGGTCTACGCGCTGTGTCTCTTCCATGTTTTGTAGGCAATTTGAGCCGCAGTCACGTCGAATGCAATTAGCGCAGAGTTAACAGGGCATTCTGTTGCTTTATCCAGGGCATTTCAACTGTATGTGCACTGAGGGAGCCGGGGAACATGCACTTATAGAATGGCTGAGCCCACTCTGAACGATGAGCATCCGCTTGAGCCGCATTGTCCCTCTGTCAGGAGCTGAATGCAAGAAATGTCGAGGTGTAGGAAGAAAATAAAGAAACGGCTTTGTTTGTGCGCTTTGGACACCGTTAGACCAACAAAGCGCGTTGTGCGTGATTATTTGTATCAAATTTATATATTAGTTCCGTCTAATGAGACATTCGCACTCACCCCTGTCCCGTTTTCAGGTGGTTTTAGGATCTTTTCACACGCGCAGAAATGATAACACTGTTGGTAAATGAATTCAGAGGTTACATTTTAAGATGCATGCATGGCCAATTTAGATTTGACATGTAATCTATACACCTACTAATGACTGATACCTCATAGGAAGGGATGAGACGCAGTCAGGCGTTTGTTTAGATTTTTTACACTAATTAAACGGAATAAGAAAAAGAATCAGCTCCATTCAGCACCGAGGCTTTGATGTAAGCGACGGCCACTGGTTGCTAAATCATCTGCATGGTTACATAAGGGGCAGATTTGGACATGTTGGAAGTTTGTGGGCTGGACAGTGAAAGGGATCATGATGATGATGAATGATGGTTGTGATGATGGTGGTGTGTAGGAGGAGGATGTGATGACGATGGCCACAATTGGCGGACTATATTCTGCTGAGGAAAGATGCATTCGAGTCATTACAAGGGAGGTGACAGAGCAGAGGTAACTCCCAATCTGAAGCTGACTGGGTTTTTAACAGATGAGTTTCTAGATATGTTTGAACTCCGTGGGTTTTGCAATGTCGAGGTGGAGTATTCTCAGATGACTTCTTGTGTTTATTAAATGTTGTTTAGCCTAATTTAGCACTTTTGTTATGGTGATTGGGAAATATCAGCAGTTGAATTCATTCAAAAGGTTGAGCCAAAAGATTTTATGTGCCGCTTTTATTTGCTGCTCTGCTTTTAAACGTGCAATTTCAACTCATGCCTTAAGTATTTGAACTCTCCACGACCAATGAAAGACGATGTTTGGAAAACTAAAAGAATTCAGTTAAATATTAAAATATTAAAATATTAAATATTAAATATTAATATCATTTAAAATGTGATAAGTTTAAGATGCAGAAAAATTCGTTTCAAAGCACATGTTTGGCCCAAAGTTAACTTCTTCTTCTTGGAATAAACACATTTTTAGATCTCATTTCAAGATGAACACTGATTAATATTTCATAAAAGGGCTAACATAAACAACAGAAACAGACATTTCTAATTAAAAATGACTAAAAAGTGCTTTAACTTTGGATTATTTTGTACAAAACCAGCAACTTTGAAGGAGCTTCTTTTACTAGTTGCATGTCAGAAATCACTTTAACGAAAGTATATTAACATTATTTAACAGTTTTCAAGAAAAATCAGAGAAATATTAAGCAGAAATATAGCAGCACTAGTTAATTTCTGCTTTGCTGTCTCTGTGATGATCTCACAGATGTTCAGATTTGTCACGCACACCTCAAAAACAAAAACAGCCCATTACTGCAGTGCTCCACCCTGAATGTCACACCTAGTTAAATGTTAAATGTTCAAGTTTACATTATATGCACATGTTTATTCTTAAGTATGGGAAAGGTAAAATAACGTTGAGAAATGCCAGAAAGTAAGCCTAGTAAAACAGTGGATCTGCTTTCCTGCCCATGCATGTCGGCCGTCAAGACACTTTGGACAGTGAACGTATCGAAGCTGCCAGTTGGCAGGGCTGTCTGATGAGTCTTTGAGGCCATTTCGCTCTGACATCTTCCAGCGGCTCAGGCCTGCACCAAATTCATGAGCTGATTGTGCAATGGGAGTGTCGTGCAGCTCATCACATTTAACCCATGCTGAGTGTTTACTGCCCACGTCTAGAAAGCAACTATTAAATGTGGGTGAGACAAAGATCTTGGCAGCAAAGCTCCCCAAACCTTTGCAGTCTTCATGATATAGCAGAGCTTCTCCTACAGCCATGGCATTTAGAAAGCTGTGCTAGTGGCAGCTCATTTGCAGTGTAGCCGATTCATATGGAGAACCGTGAAAAATAAATTTCTTCAGGCCTTAGAAGAAGCTCTCGTGTGGCTTTTTTGTAGTGATAATACGTGTGTTGAAACTGGAGCTTTTTGTGAAGAATTTATCCTGTAAACTCCAGGTGACCTTCTCTGGTGAGTGCAAAGGCCATCCGATTCACAGTCACAAGCGTAATGATAATTCTCGTAAAGCGTCACCCCTCATAAATCACCAGGACACAGCTCCTGATCGATTCCTCTGTTTACTTCCTCATCCTGTTGGGGACACTGCAGACCTCTCAGACCTCTATAAAAACCTTCATGACCACAGGTTTCTTGCAGCACCTTTCACTGTCTGTCAGATGTATTTAAATTGATTTCCTATCATGTTTCAAACTGAGTCTCCACCTCTTTTATATATTATATATTTTCTTCCCTGCTCACTCAAGACTGAAGCTATCGCATTACACAAAAGCACAGTGATGTACATATGCAGCACTCCCCTCAGCTTCTGGATTCAGTTTCAGGGATATGAAACCTTTTGAGGTAATTTTTTCCACTCATACATTATGAAGGGTAAATGTATTTCTCATCTCCAGTTTAAATTGAGGTGCCTGATGGGACGTGTCGCAGCCTAATGTCGTCGGGAGCAGCTTCAGGACGGCTTTGTTGCTGTGTAGTGATTGGCATTTTGAACTGCAGCGCTCTGCGAAGGATAGAAGGAAAAGGCTGCATGGTTTCTAAGGGTCTTCCATGTTTGTGTGAGCTAAACAAACTGAGTGATACAAGCTTCTTGATTTAGTGTGTGGGAGGGGGCTTCTGGCATACACAATAGAGGAAATGGTCCCTGGGAAGAGCTGCATGTTTGTCTTCCAAAGGTGAACCTGGAGTACTAGCAGATGAGTATAGAGCAATTTTGTTTGTTTTTTTCGCCATATAAACTCATAATAAATTCTTGGGGCTTTGATGGAAGATCATTAATAAATAATCTGGTACATTAAGTGCAGAGATTTCTTGTTTGAGAGAGCTTGTTTCCAACCACTTAACACTGCTTCACATTCCTCTTCCACCCTGCGTTTTCTGCAGCTCTGAGCAAATGTCTGCAGCAGCCATTTCTGTTGGATTTCCAATTAGCTAACTTACTCTAGCGTGAAAATACGCCTATTATTACTGTCAAGCCCAGGCTGCCGTAAGCTGTGCCAAAAATCTCTCCATTTTATTGTAGTTAATTGGTTTTCAAGGTTAATAAAAGTCTCAAATTGCTTGTTTCCCCATTGAAAAACACAATATGTTATAGTCTGTAGTCTGTGTAATGGTCAATATCATAACGTTGCTTTGGTTAAACATATAGGGAACTTTAGCCACTGGGAAAAAGCTCTGTTTGCTGTAAGGGATTATTTGTGCATTGCAATACCATGAGTGGCCACTAGGAAAGATTAGCAGGAAGGATGACTAGAAGCAACTAAGGGTAATATTTAAAATTCATTACATTACAAGATTACGGATGTTAAAATGGTCTGCAAGACAATTCTCTACAAAAGTCTTGAGCCACCTCTCATTTTTAAATATTTTGTTTCCAAAGAGTCAGACTGTTGTATTTTTTTAAGTGATCTGGAGCAATGGTTGGCTCAAGACCTTTGCAGCCTATGGTCTAAATATACTGACTAGCCAATCTCAAAGCTAGATTTGGAGGTGTAGTACTGACATGACTCTCCTCCTTGTTATGGAGCTAGGATTCAAAATGTATTATAGAGCCTCTTAGCAGCTCACATGCAATTATTAACACCCCGGGACAGGAAAATACCTTATAAAAGCCTTAGCATGTGCACTGACAACCATAAAACTGCCCCAAATATTTCAAATGTGTCTGAGCTTTCTTTTTTGTGGCAATGAAAGGAAGTGCTGTAACATTTTTAACTGTATATTTTTGTCATTAACATTAGAACAAAAAGGTAATCTGAGAACTCTAACATTTTATTTTGTAAAAAGTTACACCCAATACTACTAGTGACACAGTATCCATGTAACCATCAGACATGCATGAGACTGATGCTCTGCGTAGCGTTGAAGCCAGACAGAGCCACAGACCGTATAATGCTTCCTGCTAATGCTGCTTTACTGTCCAGCTTACAGACAGGATCTTGTCTTGCTCTGGATCCTTATCTTGCTGACCTCTCTAGTGACTAAGCAGACATCTACTGGGGAGGTTTGCATGCTAGTTACTCCTCAGCCTTACCAAACAAACACTGTCTGCCTTCAACCTCTTGTAGCATGCAATAATTCTTTTACTTGTTAATTTTTTGTGGTTTGAATAGTTTGTCTTATTTTCTCTGATTAACACTTAATTTTCTCAATCTTTTTACAGGTAAAAGTTTTTCTTTTACTGATAACAAGCGGTCCGTTATAAATTTAAAATAACTTTGCACCCTTTGTGGCAGCAATAAGGGACAATGTCATGTAAAACTAACTGTAAATGACCGTTATTCAGATATTCTCCACAAAAACAAATATATTTATTGAAGCTCTCATGTGTGGGCTAAGCTGTTAAAATGTTTTCGTTACACAAACACAAGGCACACAGAGAAACTTGAACCGCTTAGTAGTGACGTGAATAGCACTTTCAGAGGTCAAGTCTAGGGCCCACAGCAAGCATACAGAGGATATTCCTTGGCTTCCTTTGGGCTGTTAATTTTGAGCTCCAGTGTTATTTTTGTCGTGGCACTACCCACAGGGAACCACTCATACAGGTCCCTGAGCAGCCTGTGCTCACTGTTGACTGTTGTTAAATGCTAAAAG